AAAAAAAAATATTCCCAGATTATTTTAGTAACAATAAAGTACGCTGTGGCCCAGTACAAAATTATCTGCGGACCGTGGTTTGGGGACACTTTTAGACCCCGATGTCATCATCCTAATGTTTTCTGAGGTTAGAAATGAAGACGAGACCTTGGCATGGACTGACTCGTCTGTACAGAAAAGATGAGAGACAACGTTCATGGTCTAGTGAATGAGGCCGGTCATCGCTCACTGATGCAAGTGTCGTAGAGAGGACGTCGTCCCCTGCAGCGTGACCCTAAAATAGAACAGGTCCAAAAAGTGTTGCTCTGCTGAAGCACCGCTGTGTGTTTGTGAACCACGGGTTTGTGTCAGTGGTGACCGAGTCCAACTTAAAGTCCAATCATTCAGCTGATATTGAATGTGTAAATCTAATATCTGGGTATCATCTGGTCACAGGGCTCTGTGTGTTCTTCACATACAGTCTTCACTCCGGGACGGTCTATACAGGTTACAGTCACGTCTGACACTGGGGCCGAGAACAGAGGTTTATTCACTGCTTTGTTTGTTGGTCTTAATCCTCTTGGATGCGCTTCATATAACGGTCGGTTTATTTTAGTCATCAGGGACCTGGACTTAGTCAGTGCTGAGTGTGTGGAGGCGGTGGTGCAGCGGAAGTTGTTCAAGTCCTGTCCACTGTTTCTAATGTAACTTTTATTAATTGAGTTCATTCAAGTTTTGTAATTTTATCTAGGTGTCCATCCGTCCATGGGATGTTAATGATAACAATAAGCATTAATTGCAACATTAGGAGATAATTATCTGGACAGGTTGAAAAACACTGAGCTGTAAAAAACTGATTTTTTTTTATTTAAATTTAATTTATTTTTTTTATCTATAAGGCATTTTTATTTTCATCAACTATTTATGAATAATGAACAGAAGAGAAATATATTCTTCATGTTTTTTCCTCCTATAAACACGTTAGTTGATTGTTTTTCTGTTTATGTTCCAATATTCCAAAAAAAAGGGTACATTCTGCAGAATGACCTCCGAGGTGAAGTACTGCATACTTCATAAAATACTGTGGGGGAGAAACATTCCCCAGCTCTGCTTTACATAATATCCCATCTTAATCACACAGAATATCTCAGCAGTAAACGTTGCTCCTTGTTGCCCCCACCAGTTCTAAAGGAGCTCTTGACAGCTTTTTAAAGCGCCCCACTTTTTCCATCTGCTGAAATATGAATTAAAAAAAAAAACTTGCACTTGTTAAATTTTTAATATGTAACTGACTTATCAAAGGCTTCGTTTGATTGGACCAACACGCTGCTCCCTCCCATGTAGGCTTCATGATTTAAGAGTCAGATCTCAGAAACACATTTGCCCCCAGGCTGTTTTATTTGTGCTGCCGCCACCTGCTCGCTCGTCCTCATCCTTCCTTCACCTCTCTAACTTTCTAACTCTCTCTAACTTTTTCTCCAAACCATCTCCACCGTAACTGTCCCTCTGATCTGCTCGACCGTCCTGGTCACTCCCAGTGAAGACCTCTTCTAGTATGTTAGAAAATATTCATATTTAATTAAATATAATTTTACAAAACATAATGAATATGGAGTATTTGTGCTTTTTTTTTTTTACTTACTCATGAAGTGGGCCAGATTGAACCCCGTAGTGGGCCGGTTTTGGCCCATTAGCCTTATGTTTGACACTCCTGCTCTAAACCATACATCATAGCAGGTTTCACTACTGACTTTGCTGTTATACTTCTGTCACAAATCAAACTTCTGTCTTTTATTTTGCTAAATAAAAATATGAAATATTTAAATATTTATAAGAATTATAAATAAAAGATGAAAAATCAAAAAGTTTTTTTCATCTTAAAGATGTCATTGTTTTTGACGTTTGTCTGCGAGAAGAACAGGATCACCGTCCATTAATGTCAGACATCAAACCCCAGGGTCTGGTTGTAGAAGCTCTCATGTCCATGTAGGTCAGTAGGTCAGCCGTTGAGATTAAACAACGCGACTGTTGTCCACTACATGGACTGAAGCACAAGATTAGCTCAGAGCCTGAGGTCCATGGATGTCATGTGGTTTCATTAGGAATAACTTTATTGACCTGCCGTCGCTGCTGCTCATCCTCCACACAAGATGCTAAAAAGAGAAACCACTCCTTCAATACATTCAAATAATAGTTTTATTTCTGCATCTTTTCACAGTACCGCTGCAGTGACAATTATGGGATATACAACACAAGCCCCACCCAGCCCAGCCTGATCCGTCCAGTTGTGCTTTGGTCGCAACAAGATGTTTGCAAATGGCTGAAGAAACACTGTCCTCACAACTACCTGACCTACGTGGAGGTGTTCTCCCACCACGCCATCACAGGTCAGTGTTTACTCTGTCAACACATTCACAAAATCCTCCGTTAGAGTTGGATCTTCAAAGGTGTGTCTTCACAGGCCGGGCACTGCTGCGTCTCAATGGGGAGAAGCTGGAGAGGATGGGCCTGGTGCAGGAGACGTTCAGACAGGAGCTGCTGCAACAGGTGCTGCAGCTCCAGGTACAGGAGGAAGGACGCAACCTGCAGCTGCTCAGCAGAGGTATGGCTGGGTGTGTGTGTGTGTGTGTGTGTGTTCTTGTTGCTCTCTTCCAAACCTTGCTTCATGACACACTGTTCAAATATTCACAGTGAGGTTTGGATTGAGATTTTTAAGATTGATAGCATTACCACGTCTGACACAGTGCAGTTAATACGAAGCTCCAGGCTACAAGGGGTTGTCTGGCGCCGTCTGGTTCAAAAATAATGTGTCGATGATACGTCTAAAGATGAGAGTTTTATGTATATGTCAGTCTGAGGGTGAAAATGACAATTTGAAAACACAAATAAAAACAACTCACATTATGACTATTCTCCTCTTAGGATAAGGATTTCGTTCTGACTTCTTATTTACCTCTAAACTAAGGTTGAAAATTGGATTGAGATCTCAAGTTATTTCAGTGTTTATCACTTTCCTGTCTTGTCAAAAAGCAGCCGTTTTTTTCAAACCTCGTCGATGTGAATCCATTCATGTCTCGGCAGAGGATTGAAGTGACTTTGTTGTGACTCCCTTGTGTGACGTGTATATAAATATTTTACTCAGTTTCAGTGTTTCATTCTTTTTCAGGTTCCTTTGGACGGATATCGTAGCTCGTTAGGGTCTCTGGGAGAAGTGGGAAAGTGCCGTGGAATTATGGGAAACGTGATCAAAAGACTCGTATGTCAGACACATCCAGTGGGTGGAGGGAAACCCTCACAGTGATATCCTGAGTTTTGGTAGGAAACCTAGAAACCTGGACATCTGCTCAATGATAAAAAAAAACTAAATACGTTTTTAATGGACTGACCATGAACTGTGAAGAAGAAAAAAAAGCACCAGGACAATCTGTTTTTTCAGCATATTGATTTTTCTCTGTGATTCAGTAACTGATCCATTCTTACTCTCTGCCTCATTTCCTTTAATCATTTTAACTGTTTAAAAATTAATAAAGGATAATTATATAAAAAAAACTTCTGATGTTGAGGTTAGAAATGTATCTTCACTCTTCAAGCAAGACTCGCGTGTGAAGAGCTGGAGGTTTTTTTGATCACGTGATTTTTCACTTCAAAACCAGGTAAAGTATGTAAAAATAGAATTAAAATATATAGAGAGTTTTTGGAGAGATATAGAGATAAAAACACAGTTTTAGGAACATTTATGTGTAATTATTTTATTTAAAAAATATAATCATACTGGTTTATGTGTTTTTATTTAAATATGTAACATATGCTAACTCGTTTTCATTGCAGGACTACCGCGGCTCGGTCGCGTATTTTATTTTGAAAGGAATGGGTACGACAACATTCCCGTTTTCATACCCGTGCTGTTAGAATTGGCCTCTATGTGTTATTTTTTTTTAAAAATCGAAGGTAAACTAACTCGTTAATTGTCATTTCAGAGTTGTAGCTTATATATTCGATATTGAAAAGGGTACATTCAAAGCTAACTTTTCGGTTCCAACACGAGGGCTTTAACAGTGGCTAGCTAACAGCGGGGCTGAAGATGTTGTTAAAATAGTACCGTGTAAAATGGAACTTTTGCCCTAATTTTATTTAACAGTAAAAAAAAGCAACATCGACTTTATTTTGTGTTTAACAGTAAAAAAAAAGCAACATCGACTTTATTTTGTTCCTTTTATTTTGAAAAAAGAAGAGAAAATAAGGCGCTGGATTTTAATCTAATGACACAAACGTAGGTGCGCTGTATACAGGTTGGCGGTAGAGGACTTCATTACCCAGAATCCCACAGCGGAGTCTACAGGAGTCATCCATGGCTACAACCGCTCGCCGCCGCCTCCGAGGTCACAGCATCTCCACTGACTCGGAATGCTCTAAAATCTTGTCGTCCCTCTCGGACAGGTACACGAAACGTCGACAAAGCTGTGTCTAAATGTTTTCGTTCGTTTTATTTTGGCGCTCTTTTATTTTTTTTGTAGTTTTATTTACACAGTCGTCCTATGGCGACAGCGTAAAGATGCTGTACGTATAGCCTTACACAGAGACGTCCTTCAAACTGCTTCAAAACACATGACGTTCATAAGAAAAAGCTATAAAACAGTAACTTTAATTTATTTTAACTTTGTTATGGTCACGTGATAAACACATCTACAAGCTCCATTTGAATTCACCGACTTTAAGCCCTTTTAGAAATTACATTCTTTACATAACAACGATTATACATAACATGTTAGATAATATAGCCTACATATTGATTGTGATTATATATATTGTTTATGAAATATATATGTGTGTGTATTTATGTATGAACATATATTTATATTTTATTTTGTTGTTTTTTATGTTATTGTATATATTTCTATTTTATGTTTCATATATTTATGTTGGTGGCAGAATTCTTTGGATGAATGGCATCTGTCAGAAACGTGGCATCAAACGTGAGATATGCTGTGATGACGTAAGAGTAAATATGTGTTCATTCTACATACATTACATTATAATGAACATAAAATGATGATATAAGTTATCACTGCTCATATTATTATTAATAATAATAATACATTTTACTAATAATACATTTTATTGCCTATTCCCATGGCCTATAAGTTAAAGATGCTGTCCTGGGAGGTTGCTGGTTGAAATCCCAGGCAGATTTGTGGTGTCAAGAGGAGTAACCCAATAACAATAGCCTAATTGTTTTGCACAAGTTATTACAAGACGTTTTATTAATTAGTCTAGATCTAAACACGTAGTTAATCTGTGATTCTGCCTGAACCACCGTTAAACTTTTATTTTGAATTGTGTCTTTTCTAATATGAATATAAGTGTGTGTGTGTGTGTGTGTGTGTGTGTTGTTCTCTTATGTATGTATCTATCTGTATGTTCACTGGTCCTTCCTGTCTTCCTGGTCTTGGTTACATAAGTGTCTATTTATGAGCAGCTCTCTGCCTCCAGCGTTACCAGTGATCCTCTTAGTGTCTGTCCCACAACACACACACAGAGAGGTGGACAGTGAGGGACGAGGACACGCGGGGGTAAAAAGACGTGACTTGTCATATTTATTTTCTGACTCTTTTGTGCGCAGAGCAGGTGTAATAGAGTTGTCTCCTGAGGGCTGTTGTTTGGATGACGTTGTTGTTAGTGATGGAGTCAGGAGAGTTGGACGGTAGAAGGCTGTTGTCTGAGGCAGATATGACTCTGCTGGACTGCACCGGAGCCAGAATCTCTGGCTGCTGGTCCCTGAGGTCCAACTGCAGGTAAGCTCTGACCATGTGTGCTGTTGTTTTTCCTCTCAGAACAGGCAGGGTGCCAGTGTTTGTTTGTCACACAGCTCACACACAAACACACACACCTCGAATGTGTGAGAGCACGAGCCATAAATAGAGGATAAACAGGGATTGTTGTGAGGTCACAGGAAGTGCAGAATGTAGTTCAGCTGTTGGGGGTTTTGTTTTGTTTAATTTGTGCTGAATCCCAAAAGGCTGGTGTTGTTCTGAGGTTCAACACCGCCGAAGAAAATATTTTTAAAACTGCGTCAGTAGTCTTCTGTCTAACCTTGGATTTTATGTTTTAGCATTAGCATAATTAGAGTAATACAGTGTAGATTGGTTAAAAATGTTAATATATTTTTATAGAAAAAATGTCTGACACAATACTGAAAGATTTACAAATATGACTGAATTGATTAATAAACTTACTGCTAAACCAAAACAAAATGAAAGGATTACTTTTCAGCCAAAATCTACATTCACAGATTACTACAAACATGCAGTACAAATACAGATATTGTATACAACATTTGAAAGTCTTTTTCATGGTCTCTGAACCCTGTCATCTAGACTATTGTCTGTAGCAGGATTGTTGTACCTAGCATTAGCTCAGGTATTTGTACCAGGTCTGTTGTAGCTAACGTTAGCTCAGGTGTTTATATCAGGTCTGCTGTAGCTAACGTTAGCTTTAGTGTTCGTAACAGCTCACTTAGAAAGTCTTTTATTTCAGTTTCATATGGAAACTTTTTATTAATTCTTTGGTTGCAATCCTAATCAAAGTGTACCAAACTGGAACTTTTTTTTTTCATTTGTGGATGGATACATGATATTTTCAGACATTGTCATCTCAGGTTTTTTTTAAACTAAGGTTTTATATTTATAGTTTTTTTTTAGGTTGATGGATCATGCAAGTGACAATGAACCTTCTATGAAAGTTTTTGTTAGTTACAATCCCAGTAAAAAAAATACTAAAAGTTGACACTTGCCTCTTCAATGATACTGAAGAGGATGAACACGACTGATGCCAATGCACAGCAGTGAAATGGTTTGTTTCGTGCCCAACAAATGATTTTTGTTTCCACGATGACCTGAGACGATTTGATCTGTCATGTAGTAAAATAAACATCAGAAATGGTTAGAAATCTCTGTGTTAAACAACAGTGAACGAGAGTTCTAACCACACAATCATCACCCACTGGGCTCTTCACAGCACTCTCTGATTGGACAAAAAATATTTTCAGGACAGATGGTGCAGCATAAAAAATTAAATTTGTGCAGTGCATGAAACTCATCCCAGTGTGCTGATTGGCCCCCAGTTAGGTGTTTGGACTGCACAAACACTTTTAAAACTACATCACATGAATATGTAAACAGTCATTTGTACTTGATTGTACTGTAGTTGTTGTGTACTCTGTGTGAGTGGCTTCATTATGTTACGTTACAGGGAGTCTTTATTTGTGCTTCGACTGCTGTAGCTAACGTTAGCTCTGGTGTCTGTACCAGGACTGTTGTAGCTAACGTTAACGCTGGTGTCTGTACCAAGATTTTGTTTGACTTCATTTACCGAAGGGATTTCTTGAGGGATCTAAAACTGGGGGGCGTGGAGCTTGTCACAGTCAGGAAAATGTAGTGATTTGAAGCGGAGATTTGAATCAACAGCAGTGAATGAGTTGGAGTGTGGGCAGGCAAAAAGGGGGCGCTGCAGAAAACACTTCCTAAATCTTTGAGACTCAAGTTCAATATTTGTGGTATCCGTGAGAAGTCGGCCATTTTTAAATACCTTCCAGACATTTCCTTCTGTTCTCTCTCTCTCTCTTTGAATGGTGGGCGGGGCCATGTGAGGTGTTTGTGGTTCTTCAGGTTGTGACCTGTCCTCCTGTTGATGCTGTTTTGCAGTGGGAGTGGCGAGGACTCACTGGACCGGCTTTTGCCCCCCTCCGGGGCCCCTCGCCGCAGGAGCACTACCTCACTGAGTAAATCCGAGCCTCCTCTGCTCCGCACAGGCACACGCACCATCTACACGGCCGGTCGACCCCCCTGGTATGACGAGCACGGCGCTCAGCCCAAAGAGGCCTTTGTCATCGGTACGACACTCTAACACAGTGATGATGATGATGATGATGATGATGATGATGTTCCAGACTGTTCTGCTCCTGTCACTCACCTTTTCTCCATGTCGATCTGTGGCCTCAGGCTTCAGCCTCTGTTCTTGTTTTTTTTTTTCATTCCTCCATTCTTACCAATAACCACGTCACCGCAGTCACACATGCATACCAACCAGGCAGCATTAGCTCCACTCTGAAAAGCACACATAATGGCTCTTTGAATGGTTTGGCTCTACAGGGCTGTGTGGGGGCAGCGCCTCAGGAAAGACCACCGTAGCAAATAAGATTATTGAGGCTCTGGATGTGCCGTGGGTGGTGCTGTTGTCCATGGACTCTTTTTACAAGGTGGGAAAGTAGTAAGAGTACAACATGGTTGGTGTTCTTTTTTTTTTTTTTTTTTTACATCATTGTCAGAATAAATGTTATTTTACTAAATAATCATTCCAGGATTAAAAAAAAAAACTCTTTCATCAGAGCGACTCAGTAAAACTTTTTCTTTTCTGTCACAAACGAATGGATGATTGAATAGTTTGGTTCATTTGAAATTAAAATAGTTTGATTTTCATATCTGTGTATAAAAACAAAAGTGCAGACCCTGGTGTGTAAACAAAGGTTGCTGGTTAAAATCTCACAGGCAGTGGTCCTGTGACCCCGTTTTGACGTCATGAATTCCGTGTCACCCCAGAGGCATTTGGTAATAATACGTGATTTTATTTGAACTCAAATTATATTCATGAAACTGAAAGAACACACATGTTTAAGGCTGTGTGTTTTTAATTATGATTTTAAAAAGAATATTTAGTTGAAAAATATTTTCTCTTTTTTTTATTACCAGATATTTCAGACCACCCCACTAAGGGTCCTGCCCCCTAGGTTGAAAAACACTGGGATGAAAAAAATGAAAAGAGTCATTTTAAATATATAAATAACTCATGAAAGAATAAGAAGGCATGTGTTTTATCACCAACGTTCCTGTGAATCTGAATATTACTCTCTGGTGTGTGTGTCTGTGTGTGTGTGTGACAGGTTTTATCTCCTGAGGAGCAGGTCCTGGCAGCGAGTAACGACTACAACTTTGATCATCCTGCAGCCTTTGACTTTGAGCTGCTGGTCGCGACTTTAAAGAAGCTGAAGCAGGGCAGAAGTGTGAAGATCCCAGTGTATGACTTCACGACGCACGGGAGACACAAAGACTGGGTGAGTCTGTCACCGCTACCACGGGTGGAGATTTATACACCGGCAGAATTAGCATCCTCACGGCGATAATTAATATGCGAAAATGAATACGATATGAAGTGTTTCACTCATGAGCAGAGTGTCAGCTGCTGGAAGTTGTTGCTCTAATAACAAGTCATAAATCTGTTGTTATTTACACACATTGTGGGAAAGAGGTTTATTTCCCACAATGTGGGATTTGAACCAGCAAACCTCCCGTCACCTCTTATCACTAGTCCTCAGGCTGCCTGAACACCAGCGGTGATTTAGTCCAGTTTTAAACTTTAGATTTTCCAGTTATGGTCTTTATTTGCACTCGCCTGCAACTGAAAACTCTGTCCTGTAGGTGGCGTAGGCCATCAGCAGATAGGCTGCTCATGTCCAAACGCTGCTTTCTTGTCCAATTCCACCTGTATGTCTTATAGAAAAAAAAAAATTTCACATCAAATGTGTCAAAGGTGACTGATTGTTGAAGCAGCATTTCTTTCTTTTTTTTTTTTTTTGCATTTTCAATCAAATGTCTCAAAGGTGACTGATTGTTGAAGCATTTCTTTCTTTTTTTTCTTTTTGCAGAAGAACCTGTACGGAGCCAGTGTGATTATATTTGAGGGCATTATGTCGTTTGCAGACAAACAGCTCCTTCAGGTGAGCTCCCTCTTGTGGAATCACCTGGTACTGTTTCAGCAGCTCCTCCATGGTATTGAACATTTGTTCTTCCTCCTGAAGCTCCTGGACATGAAGATCTTCGTGGACACGGACTCCGACATCAGGCTGGTCCGCCGGCTGCGCAGAGACATCACGGAGCGAGGGCGAGACATCGAGGGCGTCATCAAGCAGTACAACAAGTTCGTGAAGCCGGCCTTCGAGCGGTACATCGAGCCAACCATGAGGCTGGCGGATATCGTGGTGCCCAGAGGTGAGACATCCAGACGTCCTGCTTCACTGCAGTACACACAGCAGTATTTATTGCAGTACACCCAGCAGTATTTACTGCAGTACACCCAGCAGTGTTTACTGCACTACACCCAGCAGTATTTACTGCAGTACACCCAGCAGTATTCGCTCCTGTCTTTTTCTTCCTCAGGTGGAGGGAACATGGTTGCCATCGACCTCATAGTTCAGCACGTTCACAGTCAGCTGGAGGAGGTGAGTGGAATGACCTCACTGTCGAGAGAAAGGAGGGCGCCACCGTGTGATCCAATGATGTAACACACAGAAAGAAAACCGAACTGACTCCAGCAAAGTGACTGTATCTGCTACAAATAGACAGAATATTCCAGTCACCGTATGTTAAAGATACTGGTTTGTCTGTTTCACCTTTGGAAAAAAAAAAAGTTGTTTTTAATCTACATTTTTAGGATTCATATGAAATAGGACCAAGAACACGAAGCCTTAAAAGTACAAATATACACAAGTTCATATACATACATATATATATATACATACACATATATTTTTTACAGACAGACACATCCATTGGTACATATACAACACACCTACACATAGAATATACACATATACGTAAACATATATTTATATACACACCCACGTATGTGCAGACAGACATACGTGAATATTTTTATACATACATATACTGTACACACACAAGCCCACAGTACAAAATATACTTAGGTACAAATATAATGTATTTATATATACATATACATATGCACACATATAGGCAATATATATATACAAGTGTATGTACATATACACATATATTGTGTAACATCTTGTTGTTGTTTTCTTTTTCTCTCTGTGTTTATGCAGCGTGAGCTCAGTGTCAGGTATTACATCTAAATACTCGTTCACTGTTTATATCTCTCTCCCTCTCTCTCTCTCTCTCTCACTCTCTCTGTGAACCTGATCTATTCATTTTGTCTGTTTTTTTTGTGTCTCAGTTTATTGCCCCCTCCTCCCCTCCCCGGTCCCTCTTTTGTCCTCATCGTGTCTTGGTCCACTTTATACCCTTTAACATGAACGTGTGGTCCCTCCCAGGGCGCTCCTGGCCTCGGGTCAACAGACTCAGACACTTCCACAGACACTGAGTGTGTTGGCGAGCACGCCGCAGGTCAGCGGCCTCCACACCATCATCAGGTACTGATATATAAATATATATATATACACATANNNATGTCTGTCTCTGTGTGTCAAATTAACCTGATAATTAAGCCGTCGAACGAGGCGTGAACGTGTGACTCCTCGACTGCTCTGCTCCACCACAGGAACAAAGACACCAGCAGAGATGAGTTCATCTTCTACTCAAAGAGATTAATGCGGCTGCTGATCGAACACGCGCTCACATTTCTGCCTTCGCAGGTACAAATTCAACATCAAATGAGTTTGTTTTTTGTTTTTATTCATTAATAATTAATCAAATACTGACAACACAGAGACACTGTGTCGACCAGACCAACAAAATAATCATCATCGTCAGGTCAAAGCTTAATTGTTGTTTTGTAAATATCATTTTCATGTCTTCAGTTCAGTTCCCAATAGTCTGGTAAAATAAAAACATCTTTTAGACTCTTTATTCTGTTAGTATCTGGATGACATATTATTTTGAAATATTACCAGATTAACTTTGAATGAGGAAAGTAAATGAGTAAAACTGAAGTACATCCCACTGCAGCCCGGTAACAAATAAACAACGGACCAGTACCGGTCCGTGGACCTGAGGTTGAGGACCCTTGCTTTAAACAACAGATCTGCCTCATCCATCCTATGCACTGCAGTGGTTCCCTAAACTTTTTCTGCAGCATTTCTTTTTTTGGTGACTAGAAATATTATCTCTGATGTCAAAACTTAAAAAAAAAAAAACTTTATTTAAAATACTGCAAATCCTACAAAACAGCCCCAGGAGGGTCCCCGCCCCCCACTTTTCCTTCATCAACTGTGAAGTTTTAGTAATCCTGAAGACTGTTGGTGTTTGACTCTCTGTTACAGACGTGTTTGGTTCAGACGCCACAAGGCCACGAGTACCAGGGCCGCACGTACAGCGGCAGGGGGGTGAGTCACGTTCTTGCTCAACAGCGCCTCCTTCACTGTCAGGTCAGCGTGTCCTCAGGTCTTCATGTCCGCTCGCTCGTCCCCCACAGATCACCGGCGTGTCTGTGCTGCGGGCAGGAGAGACCATGGAGCCGGCTCTGAGGGCGGTCTGCAAGGACGTTCGCATCGGCAAGATCCTCATCCAGACCAACCTGGACTCCGGGGAACCAGAGGTGACGGAACCAGAATCTTTAAAGAACAAAACGATTCTTCTTAAAACTCCATCTGAGAGAAGATACAAACGTCTTTTTACTCTTCTTTTTTTATTCTACCACATGATGTGTGTATCCGTGGTAACTACCCTTTCTGATTGTGTAACCATGGTAACGCTCCAACGTCTCCTCCTCTCCGGCCTTGCCAGTTGCACTACCTGCGTCTGCCCAAAGACATCGGTGAAGATCACGTCATCCTGATGGACAGCACGGTGTCCACGGGTGCCGCGGCCATGATGGCCGTACGGGTCCTGCTGGTGGGTGGAGTCTAACGACACTCATTATTCTACAGTCAGTCAGTCAGTCAGTCGGTCAGTCAGTCGGTCAGTCAGTCAGTCAGTCAGTCAGGTTAATCCAAAAGTCATGTTTCTTCTGGTCTAGTTTTAAATCTCCTTCTGATGTTAGTATTGATTATGTGTGTGTGTGTGTGTGTGTGTGTCAGGATCACGAGGTACAGGAGGAGAAGATCATGTTGGTGTCCCTCCTGATGGCGGAGCTCGGCGTCCACTCTGTGGCCTACGCCTTTCCGAAAGTGAAAATCATCACCACGGCCGTGGACCAGAGTCTGGACGACTTTCTCCACGTGATCCCTGGTATTGGTGAGATACTACACACAGTACACGTACACACAGTACACGTACACACAGTACACGTACAACACGTTTTCTGTGCCAATTACAAAGCCCTGACTGCTGAGGTCCCTGTGTGGGCGCAGGTCAGCTGTGAGGGCGCGCTGGCTCCCCCTGCTGCGAACATCCAGGCGGTACAGACAGGTTTGTCCCGCGGCCTCTGGATGAATGTTAGCTAAAAAAATCCTGGTTTGTGTCTCATCTTCGTCACAGATTAAATTTAGTTCATTAAAACATGCTGTGACATTATATTTGTGAACTGCAGTACTACTGTGTACTGTAGAACTTCAACTTCAAGCGAAAAAGATATTTTCAGCCAACGTGTTGACCTCAGTGTGAACAGTCTTTAATGTGAGCTTGAAAGAAAACGAAAAATAAAGTATTCAGAAGACAAAAGATTTAAAAAAAAAACCCTTCTGTGATTCAAGTTGACAGATTTCACGTCAGGTTCTAATTTTAGTCCCGTCATCACTCGTCTTCTACGGTGGCCTCTGCAGAATTTTTTATTTTTTCACAAACAGTACAGTAAGAATCTGTCAGGGTCCAACAGCAAGAAATGTCCACGAGCAAAAATAAAACCAGATCGAATGATGTAACCAGTGAACGAACAGACACTCAGTGGTGACGTAAACGTTAGGTTTATTTCACAAACTTCAGATACAATCAGATCAGAAAATAATAGCGTAAAAAACACAAAACTTTTCCAGTGAAGACGGTGAGTCTCCGTCTCCTGCTGCTGTTGGTTTTTTTGTTTGTTTTTTCTCTGAGTCTCCTCCACTTGTCTGTGATTTCAGGGGACTTCGGTGACCGGTACTTCGGCACTAACGGCTTCAGCAGCTGGAGCGTTGAGGAGGACGAGGAAGAACCGTCGTGTTGACGCCGACACCTGAGTGACGTCACCGAACTGAACCGGGTTTGTTTGTTTTTTTGTGTCGTCCTCAAAGACGCAGTCCTTTCACTTCACGGCATTGATCGGGTCAAGGTCGGGGCAGCGGTCCAAAACTTTTTTTCTGCAGCGCCCCCTTATGGTAGATAGAACTGTTGTCGATGGCATTTAATCAACAGTTTGTGAAAATCTCCTTATATTTATACAGAATCAGGATGTTTTATTTTATCTCCTTATTTATTTCCAGCCTGTGCAGGTTGGTGGTTGTTAGGTGTTAGGTGACAACAGGAAACGACTGTAGTGTTGAAAACTCGAACTCATTAACAGTCGCTGTCGGTGTGAACGTGGTGTGAATCTACAAAGCTGCTGTTTAATTCAGGTTCACTCTTCAGTTCCACGTCTGATGGAGAAACGGTGACGTGTTTTCACCGCGGAGCAGTGAACGCACCGCCATAACGATGACAGTGATGTGATGTGCTGGACCGTCACATGACCACTGGTCCTCGTCTCTCAGGTTCACACACAGGCCAACTAACCCTACACTCTGACGCACTGTTGAACCTGAAGGGGTCAGTGTTGCTCACATTTGGCTCTCGGTGTGTCTTTAACAGAAGTCATTTGACTACAGTGGGAAAAAATTGATGTCAGAAATTATGTTGGGTTTTTTTGTGAAAAAAGTCAAGTTAATTTTTTGTATTATCCAAATTAAAAAAAAGTAAAAACTGAAAATAGAGGGGGGTTTTTCTTTAAAAATGAAAATGAATTTTTGTGATTTTACCAGAGGATGATGAGTTTTTTGGTGTTCTCCTCTCGTCAACGACACGTCGTCTGTGACTGTGTGAATTTCCTCCTGTCTTTTTGACAACAATGTTCATCTGTTAATTCATTGGCCGTCAGAACCATGTGGTTCCTGTCCTGTCATCTTCTTCATCCTCCTTATTCTTATATATTTTTTTATTCTTCTTATTTTTATTCCTCCCTCCCTCACCCGTTCAGCGACAGTGTGATCGTACATTTCATGCCACTCACGCTCTATTCTCCAAGACGGCAGAAGATTTGCTCGCCCATGTGACTACTGCCTCAAGGTTAACCTGTTACCATGGAGACAGGGCAGCCAATGAAAAATCAGCAGACGTTTACGATGTTGACTGCAAGCTTTTTGTTTTACGGGGTGACCTATTTTTTTTTTTTACCCTCCTCCCCCTCCTCACCCCTACCCCTGCCCCACCCCCCCTTTTCCCTCCAAAGCCACTCAGACACAGGCCTCAGCACTCGGGCGCACAGACGGTTACACACACACACACACGATGAAGCATGGCTACTGTCACACACACACACACACACACACACACAGATGTGCTGCTACCTGATGTTCCAGGGAGTTGAACCCACAACATTTTTAAAAATCTAAAATCATTGTTTGTGTAAAACGCTGGTGAATTCAGAGTGCATTCATTGGACGATTATTTATTTTTTTCCCTCCTATTTTTCTTTTATTATTAATGAGTTTATTTTTAGACTAACAGATGTTCAGGCAGCGCTCGGATCAGATCAGTGTTAAAACACCCGTCGACTCTAGTTTCCCTCCGTCTTTAAAAAACCCAGACTCTTAAGATGAAACATACTTTTCTCTTTTTCTTTTTTTTTTTAAAGTGCCACTTTATTACAAAAGTATAAACTTGACTGACATTTCATGAATAGTAATTTTGATAGAAAACATTACAATCTTTTGCACGGAGCACTTAACTGACACGCTGTTGGAGTACAAGACCCTGTAGTTTGGATAGTAAACACACAACATTAGCTGCCACATTTAACTTTTAGCTGCGTTTTCCAAAAACACACGGGAGCCGTGAAAACAAGGAACAGAACACGGGGTTCGTTTACATTTGCAGCCCAGGTGCAGCCGGTGTTACAAGTCATTCCAAAACACAGTTGAACATATTAGAAAAAAGATAGATTTATTGACACTGATGATATATTTATTATTATTCTTTCTCTTTTGTATTGTACATACACGTTGCATCAACATACAGTATAGTCACATTGTTTTCTGGGGGGGCGCGGCGGGAGGGGGCGGTATTTGGTCGGATGAAATCCTCAGATCGTGTGTTTTTTTCCGTTTTTGAACCTTTGCGTCCCATCTCTTGTCAAAACTTCTTTTGTTTTTATTTTTAATTTTTTTTAACACAAGTACAGAGAGAGGAGAGAGTGTTTGATGGACCGATGAGCAGACATGACTTTAATGGATACACGTCAGTTCGACCGTAGCCCTCCAGGCTGCGCTGTGGTAGAACGCTCCACAGACAGGGGTGAGGACGGTCGGCCGGGCGGACTGTCTCCACAGTTAGGACATGAGCAGTTCTCCTTCGTCCGGTTTCATCTGCACCACCCCGGGTGTGTTGCAGGCCCAGGAGGAGGAGGAGGAGGAGAAATCGGACGCCCCCTGCCCCTCGTCGCACCAAGCCATGACTTCCATTTTTTATTTTTTTAATCTAAACGGCTTTGTGCTCTACAGAGAAAAAAGCAGCTCACTGGAGGAAAAAAAAAGGAAAAAACATCTAACAACAATAAAAAATAAAAACATTCATATAGAGGTACCACATGACAGTGTTTGATTTTTTTTTTTTTTTTTGTTTTTTTCCATTTTTTTAAGCATGCAATCCGTAGCAGGCAAGGTGCAAAAAACAATATCAACAAAGTAAAACACATCATTTACAGCAGGGGTAACAAACTCCTGGCTCGGGGGCCACTCCTGATCCGCCTTCCACAATTGGCCCTTAACCAGGTGTCAATAATGATTACATTTTTTAATTAAATTTTGATTTATTTCACAGGTCATTTAGGAACCAAAACTACCTTTTAAAGTAGTTTTTTTTTTTTTTTTGATTGTACATATAACACTGACGCGACCCTTCAGTGAAGGGACGGTGGCAGCAGTGGCTCTCCGCTCACCTGAGTTTGAGACCCCTGATTTACAGACTGCAGTGGAGACAGTGTTCAGTCCGTGGAGGATTAAACTAAAGATGACATAAATATTTAGCTTTGTGTAATTTTTTTTTTTTTTAATGCTGATAATGGTCAAAATTAGTCGAAGCCTTCAGGAGGAATGCAAAACATGTGCAATTTTAGTTAGAATACTCTCATCATTGTTTCTCTTGGTCCCTGAGCTTTCAAGTTTTTTTGATTAGTAATTCATTCCCTCATATTTTCATTTCAATTCCACCTTGAATCACATCTTGACAAACTACAGGGAAGCCCTGCCCGTCACAGACTTAAGTGCTACCAAAAGATTTTTTTTTTTACGCCACGCTGTGCCTTTCACCCCAGATCAGGGGTCCCGCTTCAGGACCACTTTAATTTTTTACCCGCTAGAATTGAGGAAGAATTTAGGCCTTTCACTTTGTTGTGCTTTGCACAGAATGTATCACCCGGACAGAAGTGCTACCGTCGCCAGCAGGTTCCTCAGCTGTGGTCTTGTGCTCATTAATTATTTACTACCTTTGGAATTCTTATAAACCTTAAACATTAGACTGCGTTCAGCCCGGGTCAGAACAGGTCAACGTCCAGGTCTCTGTGGCCCGGGTCAGGCCCGAGGAGGTCATGACTTAAATATGAACAGCATGTGCAGGTGAGCATGATGGGGTGGGAGGGAGCTCAGCCGTCATTGGGTGTTCGCTCAGCTCCTTGTGTTGAAGACGTGAGGTGAGGGTGGGGGAGTGGGGGGTGGGGTGTCACACTGTGACCGCCGCCTTAGAGCCCTGTTACGTACATCTCCATGCCGTCGTTGAAGGTGAAGATGGTGGTGGTGCTGGACGTGGTGGAGCCGTGCTTCAGGTCGCCGATGCTCTCGTACAGGTTCTCCCCCGGCAGCAGCAGGGCCTTGGCGGGGAGGTGCTGCAACTTAGGGGTCTGCTGGGTGGGCGGGGGCGGAGGGGGCTGCTGCTGCTGCAGGGGCTGCTGGCCTTTTTTCCTCCGCGGCCGCAGCGTGGCACACGTGTTGGGAGGTCGCTCCCGCTTCCAGACGCCTCCGCCTTCCACGTTCTCGTAGGCCGGGTCGCATTCCTCCGACCCGATGGACTCGTAGCAGTGATCATCCAGGGATCCTCCAACCGCTTTGCCCTCCTGAGGAGCCCAGGTCTGAGGTTTGACCACTACACTGAACCCCCCGTCCCGGTCACCACGACCCAAGGTCCGGAAGCCGAGGTTGGCCGGAGGAGACCCGGGCACAGCTCTCTTCTTCTTCCCTGGTTTACACACCTTGGAGTACATCTCCGCCACCTGCAGGACAACGACACAATGTTCAAATCCTGGAGCTAAAAAAACAGAACCTGAACCTTTCTTTCTTTTTTTTTTTTATCAGCAAAGTCAAAAAGTTCTAAGACAGATGTTATGAATTGAAAAGATTCCAATTTGAATCAGTAAAACACGTCAACAATTTTTATCATTTAATCAGTTGTGTTTCAAAGACAAACGGTCTTACTAACTACTAACTAACCAGTAGTTAGAAAGGTCAACCAAAAGGTCAACCAGCTTACGTTGTGTCCTTCAGGAAAACTATTTCAGTTTTAATCATTTTCCACTTTAAAATATATATTTTACTGTGCACTTTGTGCCACCGTTTTTACACCTCGTCAGTGAAGTACTGCGTGTACTTATAGACAGCCTTGAAGACGACAGTAGTAATTCATCAAAAAAATCAAGTGCTCGGCTCTGACTCCTCCATCTTCCATCGTCAGGAGAATAGAAACACATCAGTGATTCTATCTATTAGTAAGACAGCTCCACACTGGAGTGGAATACGGCTGGTGTAGAAATACTACTACAACTTAACGCTAAATATGAAGACAAGGAAGTAGGGAAGGAAGAAAAAAAAGGGCTTTCATAAAAATATGCACATAGAAGAAATAAAAAAATAAATTTAAAAAAAAAAACCCCAGAGAGATTGATGTCCAGGCGGAGGAGTCCTCGCTCACCGCTGCAGCAGATGGCTGTATATTCTCCACCGTGTGAGAACCCAGTGGAGCCAGGGCTTTACTCTGCAGCATAAACATGTCATCGTCCTCCGGAGGCTTCCAGATGTACTGCTCTCCATTGCCCATAAACATCACTTCCTGTCAACAGAACAACAAATAATAACTGGGGCAGAGCTGCTCATGTGTGTGTGTGTGTGTGTGTGTGTGACAGTGATCTGACTAATGATTACTTGTGTTTACAGAGGCTGCGTTTTCACGTCCAGGCTCAGAGAAAACAAATGAATGCCCGTCCATGTGAAATGTTGCAACACGGTGTGCAATACATGTCTGTGGTGCACGGACCAGACTGCACTGAAGTGTTCTGTGTTCTGTGTTCTGTGTCCCCCCCCCCCGGTGCACGGACCAGACTGCACTGGAGTGTTCTGTGTTCTGTCCCCCCCCCGTGAGGCGGAGCCCCCAGACTGTGTGATCGTGCACATACATTCTGAACGGCTACGTTGCTAAGTGTTGCATCACCCTGGAGTAAAACGAGCGGTGACCAAACGGTGAGCAGACTGTGAGCACGTGTAAGTCTGAGCACAGATTATGTTAATGACCTCGGGTCACGGCGGCCACAACGACCTCGATGACCTCACAGGAGGTGTGGGGGGGGGGCAGCAAATTGCCCTCCCCCCGTCACTTGAATGGAAGCGGTGAGCCTGATATTTACAGTAACGTCTGTCGACACGCCGGCTGCTGCGAGCATATGGAGAAGGTGACACCGCTAACGCTAACGGCTCCTCGGCGGATAAACACCCTCGCTGTCTGGACCTCAGATGAACCTCCACTGAGTCACCAACAAACCACCGCACACTGGAGCCAAGTGTAAGAGAACTGCTACACTGGCAGAATTATAACTGTGCGGATCGTCTGAAGGAGCAGCGGAACAGAAGTACTCGGAGTAGTACTCTCTGAAATACTCTCTTCTCTAGGGCTGGAAACTCACGCTGTGGTTCATCTTAGGGTCATCAGAGGGGGCGGGGTCATGTCCTGAGTAACTAAACTCACAACTGTGGACTGTCAGTTACCACAGGGGATCGAACAGTGATCTTCTTGCTGTAAGGCAAAGCTACCAACCATTCCTCCACCGTAGGGCCCCGGCTTGTCAATTATATTCCAGCACTAAATCCATTCCAGGACAGTGGGAGAGTCTGAATACAATCCCAGCAGTCATGTCGATGCTATGGTTCTCAAAGTAGGGAGCGGGCCCTTAAAGGGGCACAGAGCTAATTCACTGATTTGGGATTTTATTTCCATTGTCCAATGATCACTGCCTTAGTGTAACAGGGGGAAGAATTTTTTTTTTTAAATTTTTATACTGACTGACTGGAGCATCAACCCGTGGGTCGTGGACCAACACTAACGATGTCAAATCATTGGGATGTGTCCAGGGCAACTGTACCAACCTTTGGAAACGATGGGACATTAAAGGCCTCCATGTTTTTACGGGGCAACTTTGTGCTGTGGGGGTGCGGCGGAGGAGGGGCGGGGTGCGACGGCGGAGCATGTCGTGAAGGCGGCGCAGGTGCCTCCGCCATGTCTGTCCCGCTGTCCCTCTTTTGGGGTGCCTTGTCAGCCTTCCTCAACTTCCTGACGCAGGCGTACTCGGCCGTCTCTGTGGGGTGGGGCGCGGACATGACCTGGGCCTCGGACTCGGCCAGGCCTTCCTCCACGTCTCCATCCGGGTCTGGAGGCGCCGGAGTGTTTGCAGGTACCGCAGGAGGGGCGGGGGTGTCCGTCTGTCCGGCCCTGCCTACCATGGCGTAGAGGGCATCGTCAGTACGTGTGGTGGAGGAGCTTCTGCCCACTTCTGAGTAAGTGTGCTCTCCATCCTCTCCAGTCCCAGAAGGGATCTGGGGAAGCTGCCTGCCTTGAGAATGAAGGTCAGAATTAGACAGGCAGCTGGGCAGCAGCAGAATGTCCATGCTGGCTGGTCATCTTTAAAGACGCTCGTCTGATCGTCCAATCAACTAATGTCCACCATAAAGTTCAAGTCAAACCCTGAACAGCCAGGTTAGATTTAGTCTAAAGTAATTTAAGTCTTAGATTTAAATTAATTAAATTAAGTAATTAATCTGTTTTGAATTTCGTTTTAGTTTAAGCTGAAAAAATGTTTTATTTGAATAAATCTGATTTGATTTAGTCAAATAAAAAAAATGTATTTTTTTTGCTAATAATTAAACGAAATTCTACTACTACAACTAATAATAATTGTATTTTTTTTGCTAATAATTAAACCAAATTCTACTACTACAACTAATAATAATTACTACAACTACCACGATTATTGTTATTGTTACTATCGTAATCTTTTTTATAAACTCTTAATCGGGCACTGTAGAAAAGTAAAAGGTTTTACGTTACACTTTCTGCGTTCATTTTACGTTACGAGTGAAGCGGGTCCATTAATCTGTCCTATGTTTCCTACCGGACATGTTTTGGTCACGCGATGTCACAAATCGACCTCCCGTTTACATGTCCCGCCTTCTAAACACCGAACGTAGCTCTGATTGGCTCTAGTCCTTATTCCTTCATCCTGTTTACCGACGATGTCAGCGCTGATTGGATATCGTCAGTGACAGTTTTATGTCAGTTTGTCTCGTTAGTATTAGTTAACTCCCGCTTCCATACATTACGTCATTACACGATATAACTTCCTACGAAGTTTTCGTTTAATTTTCATTCCTTCATTACTTCATTCTTCCTCCACAGTGGAAGAATCTAGCCTTAAACATGCTATGTTGCTACAAATCAGCTCAGGCTGCCGTTACAGCGTCCACACACGTGCAGTTCCGATAACTGTCACTGATGGAGCTGTTGGACAGAAACCTTCGTCCTACAGTGAGAAAATGGCGGACTGTAAAGGTAAAGAGAATTCTTTTTTAGGGTTTACGTCTTTTATGTCTTTTCTGCAGTGCCCTTGAGCTTCATTACACTGTCGGTTTTTGGGACATCGTGTTTTTATGGTGGAGATAGTGATAGTTTCACTTCGTCTGAAGGTTCGTTTTTGGTTGTTTGGTAAATTTGTTTGTGTTTTGCTGTCCAGCGTTTGGAGGTGAAACCAAAACCAAACCAAATTGACTTTTCATTTCCATGACTTGCCATTTCATGGACAATATTGTTGCTGTTGGATGGATACCTTGTATCTCCACTCTTTCTGATTTCCATGCTTCATAATAAGCCATGTAGTTGAGGAAATGTAGTTTGCTTTTTTTTTTCTTCCCGCCATGCAAATCAAACAAGATCAGGCTCTTAAAGGTACAGTATGCAAGAATTTCATTTATAAAACAAAAACAGAACTACAAATTTAAACAAATCAGTGGTGGTTGTTGTGTTCATCTAGAAGTACCCTCCTTCTGCCTGTGTATCATTTTTTCTTTTTTTTCTAAATGAAGGTTCTGAGTTCTTTGATGGTCACTGAGACCCCTAGTGGATCCCTGGAGTAATGCAGAAGGGTTGTGAAATTTTTGGTTGATTAGGAAATTGTTGTAATATGGCAAATCTAACCTGAAATTCCTGCATACTCTTTCTTTAATTGGTCGAAAAGATGTTGAGGAGATACAAGTTTGTTTGTTTTTTTGTTTTTGTTTTGTTTTTTCTTCTTTGTTACCACATAACAATGTCACGTGTACAGACGACAGGTCAGAGTTCAAAGGTGAAGGATGTACTCACTTTTGCCATTACAGTTCATCTTGTTCATCTCGGTGTCTGATTTACTGATAGACCGCAGCTTTGACTGTCTGAGTATACCCTGATAACACACACACACACACACACACACAGTGCCATTTAAACACAACATGTGATGCGCTGTCCCAAATTATTTGGTTCCTCGTAAATTGGGTTGTTTGCGCTCGCCGCCGCTGCACAAACACAACACTGATGAGTGTGTCACTTACCATGTCCATGAGTCTGTGTTTCCCACCTTCACCGGGGACATTGTGTGTTTTTCCTTTCCTGTGGTAAACACAACCGCTCTATCACCGCACTGACATCTTCTACAGTGTGTGTGTTTTTTTCACTGTCTACAGTTTTGCTTAGCGTAGTGAAGTTATGACACACACACACACACCACACACACACACGTGGCCACTGACAAGAGAGAACATCTGCAGCTACAGTTACAGCTAATCTAATGACAGTAAGTCTTATTATTTAAATCTTTCTCATTGGACTTTATTAGCGTTCCGCTAACACTGATGCACAGCCTCCAACCCGACAGATGCACAGGATGCATTGAGTGACATCAGCACACAAAAACATTTGCCGACCAGCGATAAAAGATGAGGCAACGAAACTTAACACAAAAACAAGCGTTCTTGTCACAAAAACTTTAGGTCAACAGCATCACCTGAATCTAAAACATATTGCTGTGAGTACAGACACCCGCGTTAGCGTTAGCTACAGCAGTCCTGGTACAGACACCAGCATTAGCGTTAGCTACAACAGTCCTGGTACAGACACCAGAGCTAATGTTAGCTACAGCAGTCCTGGTACAGACACCAGAGCTAACATTAGCTACAGCAGTCCTGGTACAGACACCAGCATTAGCGTTAGCTACAACAGTCCTGGTACAGACACCAGCGTTAGCGTTAGCCACAACAGTCCTGGTACACAAAACTCTGATATTCCAACAAAATGTTATGTTCTCACCGAACAAATAAGGTTAAAATTCATTAAAATAAGTGAAGGAAAATATTTTGATGGAATTCATTTACTTTTAAATAATCAAGCAGCGCCCCCCACTTTGGGAACCACAAGCCAAAGAGAAAAAAAGTACATTTTGTTGCTTTGAATGATTTTCATTAAGTTTAATAAAACCAGCGACTTTATTAATTAAAGTTAAAATTAATTAAAAGAAGTGAAGGAAAATATTTTGATAGAATTAATTTACTTTTAAATAATCAAGCAGCGCCCCCCACTTTGGGAACCACAAGCCAAAGAGAAAAAAAGTACATTTTGTTGCTTTGAATGATTTTCATTAAGTTTAATAAAACCAGCGACTTTTACGACTCCATGGAAACAGTACACACGAGTGAATACTCATACTTCAGTATTTGCCTGTTTACAGTAGCATACTGTGTGTGTGGTGTGTATGGTGTGTGTGTGTGTGTTGCTCACCTCTGGCAGCCCACACAGAGCACCACAATGAGGATGGTAACAACGAAGGCTGAGGCAGCAGCGATAGCACCCAGCAGCAAGACCTTGCCGTAGGGAGGAGCCGTGAAGTTCAGCCCGTCCTGCATGGAGGCCATGTGGGAGCGCTGGCGCTCACTTGCTCTCACACACTCACACTCTTACGCTCATGCACACTGGGAAGATCCACGCTCTCACTGGAATCTGTAACAGAAAGACACACACACAGAGAGAGAGAGAGAGTTGTTTCATTCAAGCGCGTTTGGCCTTCATGAAGATCAACAACTGTTCTGGAACTGTTTTTTTGTTCTTCTGCAGAAGGACAACAGTTCCTGGAGAATCTTTGTTGTCTGTGAAGCAGAGTAAAGAGGCAGCGTGTGCCGTGGTTTCACCTCCTTCAGGAGCCACATTTCAGTGATTGTGAGATACACTTGTCGCTAGGGATGTCCGATAATATCGGCCGACCGATAACATCGGCCCGATATAAGCGTAATTATGTAATATCTGTAAGAATCGTCTGGTTTTCCCCAAATAATGTGTGACCAAAAAAATAGTTTTTGGGGAAAAACATCTGTATAGCCTGCAGCATTGCAGCTCGTTTTATTAATTTATTTTAGCTTTTAAAACCAACGTGTGTGAAAGGAAGTCTGTTTTTTGTTTTTGTTCATTTAATTTGTTATTTAGGTTCATAGAGAGACTTTCTGTCTAAATGACGTGTTAGTTACGTACTACGGTCGTGTCTGTACCTTTAAATGTTAATGAGCCTCTGTATGCTCCGCCCACCTGCTCTGCTCATCGCAGTTTTGTACAAACGTGCAGCACAACCCTGGTGGGTTTTTTTTTTGCCAGATGTTGATCATTTTTTACAGTTCTCTGATCTCATTTTTCCGACGTTGTTGTTGTTGCTGGTTGTTTGTGTTCGTGCCGTGGGCTGAACAGCTCGGTGTGAAGTTTGCGTTTTTCCATCTTTCTTTGTTCACCCGCGCCTGTAGGCATCTGTCGTTTTAACTGTGTGGTGAAGCCAGGAATGGTTTAAACCTACTGTGGGTTTAAAAAAAAAAAAAAAAAGACAAATGTGTTCCAAGAGGTTAATCCGTCTCCTCCATGTTGTTACTGATGTCAACCTCTGATTGACAGGTACTCTGACTGGTGGGAGTGGAGGTGGAGATTCACAGTAGAGTTAGTTATTTTAACTAAAGTGGGTTAAAACATTAAAATCGCTCATTTTGAGACACGTGTCCAGGTTTAAGGTGAAGAGCAGGGGTGCCAAACATAAGGCCCGGGGGCCTTATGTCCGGCCCAGTAGGGTGTTCAATCCGGTCTGTTTGATGAATTTTGAAAATAAACCGGCCCAGTAGGGTGTTCAATCTGGTCTGTTTGATGAATTTTGAAAATAAACAAACCAACTTTACGTTCAGGATAGTTTTGTAAAATTATATTTAGTCAAATATGACTAAATAATAATACATATCTAATAAACTTCAACTTCTTTCCATGAAAACAAAAGGGGAAAAACATGGACTTGTTGTTACTTATAGTTAATTCTGTTACCGTTGTACTGGTCCGACCCACCTGAACCATAATGAGTTTGGTTTAGACAGACACTACAGAGTAACAAATATGTGTATATGTGTATGTTTTGTATAATATATTTTTAATGTCCGTGAACACGGTCAGATATTTCTACGAGGATCTGGTGTTTTAAAAAACCTGTCGACTTATTTAGCGTCGAGTTCCCGCCTCTGGTACTGTATATGACTTTACAGTTGTTTTTTTTTTGTATTCCGATATAAACAAACACACGTTGACAAGGGACAGTGAGTCAGAGCAGCAGGCTGGGTAACATGAAACTGTGTGTGTGTGTGTGTGTAGACACAGCCTCCTCTGCTGGTTCCTCTGTCAGACGGTGTCACAGTCGTGGTGTAATGTGTTGTACGAACAAAGAAAGGCCACGGAAATCTGACAAAATGACCAAAATAAACACACGACTCTTCCTTAGCCGTTGAGTGTGTGTGTGTGTGTGTGTGTGTGTTCCACTGTACCATCGATGAAACATTATTACTATTTCAATAATTTGACGCTGAATAATTTGAGTATCTATGTCAAACCTGAGGCCCGGGGGCCGAATGTGGCCTGCCATAGCATTTTGTGTGGTGTGCCACCCAGAGGTCATCAGGAGTATGGTTGACTGTAGACCTATGGTTGTTAACGTCAATCTTATTAATCATGTGACCTGTATCATGGCGATGCCAGTGACTGTCCAATAAGATTTTACGTGACTCATTTCCACCCCCTGCTGATGATTGACGCCCCAGCCTCACGTTAACATCCCTGCTTTAATCACTCCACCCTCCAGGTGCCACAGACTCTACGCTGACCGTCGGTGAGTTCATTTGTCGGCCAGCAGCGCCAGTCTCCCCCTGGTGTCTGTGTTCAGGAGTTCACCTGAGGGTCAGACACCGACGACAGACAAACCACCGTCATCATCAGGTCTGGGTCAGGACAGCAGAGAGACACAGAGGACGAGGGACGCTGCTGACAGGTGTGGAACCAACAACCCCGTCTTCAGCTGAAGGTAAGGCTAACCCATGCTAACCCATGCTAACCCATGCTAACACCTTCGTCCCAGGTCATCAGTCGTCACAGTTCCTCTGAGCCCAAACACACACTGGTACAACATGGACTCTGTCCGGGTAAAGACCAGGAATTGAACCACAACACACGTCACACGCCCTCCTGCTCTAAAGCATGTGTCAAAGTCAAGACTCGTGGGCCACATGCAGCCCACTAAGTCATTTCATATGGCCCACAGCTGGTTAAAAAAAACACTTTATAATAAAGTCTCTGCTGCTGAGAATTTTTATAAATGACATAAAATAAGGTTCAATATTTTTTATGTGAATAAATAATAATCTTTCACAAAAACATTTATTAAAATGTCATACAGTACAGTTACATCTGTACAGTCTTACAGTTACATTATCGCTGGTGATAATGAGTTTGACACCTCTGCTCTAAGGCAAGAGAACTAACCACTGAAGACACCACATTGTCCTTAAAAACCAACAGACGCTGCTTTGGTTTTTTTCTTGCGCTGTTGCCAACATTTCTTACATCATTTGCCGTATGTAATTAATATATATATATATATATATTTATTACATACAGCAAACACTCGTGAGGCTCCTCTACAACCAGGCGACCTGATTGGACCAGACCAACACCAATATAAAAAAAAAATCTGTAGTATTTTCTCTTTGGTGTGAGAAAAAACAATGATTCACAAAAACAAAATCATCAGTCACATCATTTAACTAATTATTACAAAATGAAATGTTGAATAAATTCACCTCCAGTTTCAGAGTGGACCTGGAGGAGAAGTGATGATGATGATACAGCGAACACGTTGGCTCAGCACACGCCAACCTGTCAAAACCCGTTCTATTTTTATTCAAAACCACTCCCTCCTTTTTTTCCCACCATCACCTGTGATGCAATAATCAGTTATTCCTCACCGTGACACGGGTGTCAGTGTAATTATATCTGTGCTAATCTGACAACACGGCCAAAAGTGTAGCGCTGCCGAGGCTAATGAGAGAGAGGGGAGAAGAAAGGTGTAGGTGTGGAGGAGAAGAAGAAGAAGAAGAAGGAGGGAGGAGAGGAGAGGAAGGAGGAGAGGAAGAGTGTGTGGGAGTCTGGTGGCAGGTGTTTGAAGACGCTGAAAGCTAATGATGAGCGAACACTGTCACGTTCCCCCGATCCTCCTCTGTTCCCACAGCTCCTCCTACAGTCTTCACCCTGAGTGACACCTCCACACTGCAGTCTAATCGCTGGCTCCGCGGCTACATCTCACGAGCCAACCAATCAGAAATAGTGCTCCGAGAAAGAACAAGAAATTGATTAACACACACACACACACACACACACACACACAGTTCCTACAACTGATCTGGTTCTTTGTAAACTTTCTTCAGCAGCAGCAGGTTTCTGGTCAGGTGTTGACCTGACTCTGGGGTCACTGACCAGCAGGGGGCGTTTAACATGGGTGAGACAAACATTAAACGGATGAGTTTCTGATTAATGTCAACAGAACGGCTCACAGACACAGAGCTGAGGTCAGGACGGTCAGTGAGTCTACGGCTGACAGTCGGACTGACGCAACAGTCGGATGGGTTGTTCAGGACAACGACTTCTCCAAGTTAATAATTACATCATTTGATTTAGTCACAAATCAGTCACAGGTGTTAGTTATTTCAATTAATTAAAGTGATTAATTACCTGATGATTTTATTAGAGCCATAGAGGCTGCCCATATATACACATATATAAATAAATAAATATATAAATATATCTTAACATATGCATATATGTATACATATATACTTATATATGTACATATGCATATACACACAAAAATATATGTTTATATAATATATACGTCTATATAAATATATAAAAATATATATATATAAAACAAGCCAATTTTCTTCTAGGGCCGTAAACCGTAAAGCTGTGTGGCCCCACCCACAGACCACGACCCAGATGTTTTTTTAAAAACATTGACTGAGCACTACTGTGTAATGGTTTTGTTTTTTATATTATATTTTATATTATATATTGTAAGACACTTATATCTATCTATATATATATATATTCAATTCATTTGTTACTGTCAGTACAAACAGTCAACTAAATATATTTTTTAAACACAAACTTGAAGAAGCCGTGATCCTCCTAATAAGTCGTCTTTTCTCTCTCTCGTCGTGCAGTTGTTGTGTTACGTCGGGGTTTTTTTAACAAGTTTTTTCAACTCGCTCAAACAACTCTTTCAGTTTGGATGAACTCTCGACCTGAACTCTGTTGTGACGTTCTTTTCATCGAGCGTCTACAGTATTTACCTTTCTGCAGGAAAGTCGATCCCATTTAATCTGACCTTCAGGTTAATAACAGGTTTAAAGC